GTGTTGTGTGAGAAACTGCCAAAACAGTGCATCCAATGGAGAGACCGCCCCAAACAGTATTGTATGAATCGCTATAAAAAATCAATAAAACTATGTCGGCGTCGGAGTTAACAATGAATTGTTTCGTTTTATTAATATTTACATTCTTCGCCTATTTATCGGTCTCTAATGCCATCACATACTGTCCACTGCGAGAGACGGCCACCACTAAGTTGGATGCGACCAAAACCAAGAACTACTACGAGTGTCCAGGTCATCTGCCCAAACATTACAGTGAATGCTGTAATGATAACCGATGCTGTCCTTCGCTAACCACCAGCATCTATGAAATCGACCAAAAGTAAGTCAAATACTTTTCAGAAGTTATTCAATTGTTTGCATTTCTTTTGCTGAATATTTTTGGATAACTTTTGCTAATATTTTAATTTTAATGCATAGCTTGGCGTTTATGATAGCAGTGACCGTATCAATGGTTTGCCTCATATTCGCAGTATTTCTACTGATTTGTTGCTTTTGTCCGACTTGTCCTCTATATAACTCATGCAAAATCAGATACACCAGAGATTATGCGGGTTGTGGTGAGACATGAACTCAATTCTTTTAATATGCATCATATTTTGTATCTAATTATATATGAATCACATGTTTATTAATTAATAAACAAAACCGATTGATCGAAACATTAACCTGTATTTGACAGCACATAAAATGGGAGAAACGCCGCTCTACTCATCGATGATGCCGTGCGACTCACCCCTCGGCAGTACTGTTGTGATCGCACATCCATTGCGAGACAAACCCAACGGCTATATCAACGACAATAAGGCCAAAGAGGCGGCCGTTTAATAGCAAAGAAGCCGTCGAAATATCTATAGCGAGAAATTCAGTCCATTTTTGCCGATAAATTATGAGTTGAAGAACAAAATGATAGAAAATTTTAATGCAAATAATTTGTGTTTTGCAAATCTTTTTAATAATTTACTTATTTATTACTTCTGATGTTTATTCATATTTTATTGAATGTCCCAAAGAATTATCAATACTTAAATGGATCGTTACTTAATGTGATTATTATTACAATTTATCATATGATATCATTTTATATATAATTTACTTAATTAATTGTAAAATATATACAATTTATTTATAACTAATCATGTTCAATCACTTTCCATAACCATTGTCTCGATAGTAATAACCGATACTTATAAGTAAATCAGTTTTCATTCATTTAATTTTTACTCTCTATTCTTAATAACTATACAAATAATATTAATATTAAGTAATCTTTTTTATAATTATGTAAACATTTATATAACTTTTATTACTAAGCAATACTCTATACAATAAGTTTATGTAATTTCTAATAACTATTATATTATATTAAAATATTATTAAAGCAATTTTTAAAAACTAAAACGACTTTTATTATTAGATGATATTTATATCAAGTTAGCTCTTTATATGGTTAAAAATTTAAAAACTTTGATGCAATAAATTATTTTTATATTATATTACTTAACATTTATAAGATGTTAGATAAAAAGCAAAAATATTTCTATTATTATATTATATGAAAGTATTAGCAGTTAATGAATAGAGAATTTATTGTTAAAATTACATTAAATGTTTCCCAACGAATCGATTCAATTAATTATTAAACAGATTTTACAAAAGACTTTCAAACATAATAATGGTTGAGATAATGAACTATTTTTATTAAATCATTAATTATATTGAAAACTCATTCATCTTCTATATGAATGTTATATCTAACAATATTAGACATCATATTATAATGTTTACAAAGTTATTATGAGATGAGTATTATCTGTTAGTATTGTTAATAAGTCTCTCTTCATTACAAAGAATTAGTACTAATTATATAATATTTGCAAATTCAGAGCCATTTAGCTAAAAGTGTGTTCAACTTTTGGGATAATAACATAAATACATTGAATAAATTGAAGCCAAATTGAGAAAGTATTTTAAAATAATGAGTCTTTTTACTAAAATTTCTAAAAATCTGGTTTTGCTTTCGATAAGAGGATTATTTTATGCTAAAAATATGTTTGTTTTAGTTGTCATGCAATTTTTATAATCAATAACTGCTTTAAACGCATAATTCTGTTCAATATTTACTAAATTCAAAATATAATAATACAGTAATAATAATTAGTTTAAATATTCTGAAACAAAACTTATTTTACATTTAATGGTATAAAATAAATCAATGAGTTTAGGACATTGTCTTCACACACGAAAATCAATACCTTTGCTATATTTGTATGTTTTGTCTCCAATGAATGTATTGTTGTAAATGTTTTATTCATTTATTTTGTTTAACCATTTTTACACTGAATTCAAATACAATGTAAAAGATTTTCTAATGAAATATATTGGGATTAAACACAACAAAAGAGTGCGAAAACCAACTCAAAAAATGTACAAAACAAAGAAATTGTGTATTCAATGTGTTGAACCCAAAACCCATTGAGGATTTGATGGTTATTTTGGTTTTAGTGTATATTCTAGTTTCTCTTTACAAATAAACAAAAATCTTCCACAATATAAACATTACAAGAATATTCTGTGTGTTAAGAATGAGGTTTGGGTAAAATGTAACATTTTATGGGTATCTTTAATGTGTATACTTTGCATATATGGAGTAATATTATCCAAACAATTGGCCAAAGAAACGCAATTTTGATATTTTTAATAATACGTGTACTCAAAGACAAACTGCGGCTGATTTTACTTGAGATGCAATACTACAGTACAGTATATATGAAAGGTAAACTCAAGTTAGAACTCTATAAATGAACCAAGCAGGTAAAAAATATTGCATGTAATTGCTTATAAACTCGCTATGAAGTGATGGAAATCAGTATTTTATAATTGTGTCTAAAAGTAAGTGAAATTCGGTGTAAATATACTAAAGTCAACATTTATTAGTTATTCAATCTGTTGTTTGAGTCACTTATAGAGCAGAAAATGAAATCAATGAATGCATTAAAGCGATTGAATTTACAACAAAATCAATGAACAATAGAGCGTATGGTTTGACCGAAACTCGTACTGAAATACAGCAGAAATTTTGTTGAATTCATAAGGAATTGCATTACATTTTAAATTTTGATGTTATAATACATAGCATATTATGTAATAAATATACGAAATAAATCCATGTGTGCTTTTTGTGTACACAACCAATGATTTATAATATTTTGTCTGTGAATTATAGCATCTATTTCTCAAACAAATAAAACAAAATTTTCGTTCAAAATTTAAATAAAATTGGGATTTCCAGTCCATTCGTATTGAGGTTTAGATTTTTTGAACAAAAAATATTTTACAACACAAAAAATGTAAAACAATTTTTCTATTTTAACAGATTTTGAGAGTTAAGGAACTAATAAAAACTCATTGAACTTCACTTTTAAGGTATGGTTTAAATAATCATTGATTACGAAAAAATACGAAACATTTTTTATAAACATTTTGATAAATAAGATATAAATACATGTATAAAGACTGGAATTGTTTGTCAGTAAAAACATATTTAGACAAATAAAATGACAATTAAGCTATAAAATTGTATTTAAAATGATTGTAAATTTTATTTGAAGGTAAATACCATAAAATGAAAAGGATTTTAGTATTAATTCAATCAAACTTATAGATAGAGTTTGAGTGTTAGGAGTGGGAGAAAGGACTACAGAGTATACATTCAGTTGTTATTCTTTTCAATAAATTCAATACAAAAAGCTATTGTATTATTTAAAAAATGGTAAATTAATATCATTTATAAACATTAAGAATTGATGAAATAAAAATTTTGCATCTAATATGGCCTTAAAAAGTTTGAATTATTTTAGTAAACATTTATAATACAATATAAGTTATTGAAAAATTAATTATTAAAAAGAATATTTTTTGACAATAAATTTGATATTTTTGCGAGAATATTGACCTTTATTTTTATTAATACATGTTTTGATCACTTCTTTTATAATTTAATTAATAATCATTTTATAAGTAATAAATTTTAAGCACGTTTTTCAGGGGAAATCCTATTTGAAATAAATGCACAAAAGCCTTATTTTCAAGACTTCTATTTCTAGGGTATGCCATATGTATAGACAATATTTGCCTTAAAATTGTGAAAACAAGTTTGCATTGAATTTTTGAAAAGTGTATATAAAGTAAGAGTGAAGTGAAGCCAATCATTAAAGGAATTCCTTATACTTTCACTAATAATTATCTGGAATTTCAAATATTTCTTTCGTTTCTAATGTAAAGTCTAATATTAAATTAAAAACCTGTGCTTTCAAGTTATTGTTTACGTTAACCATACAATTGAATATCATTTATGGCATGATTTTACACAAATCAATGATTACTAATCATTATTTTTATTATCGACAAAACTTTTTTTTCTAAAATTAAAGTGAGTTTTGGAAATATTTTTCTTCACAAAATAGTTTTTCGTGATTAAAAGCCTTGTATTTAATATATTTATTATAAATATTATAATAAATCACACGAAGAATTAAAAACAAAATTTTGTGAGTATTTGCTAATTACTATTTAATATAAATTATCGGTGGGCTGTGTCAGGTCTAGGGCAGCGTTTATTATATAAGTTTACATAGAGTCATATATCTGTTGCCCATTTATACTATAAATTAAAGCTCATAATTGAAGGAATGCTTATATTTTACGGATATTCTCCTAATATAATAATTTTCAAAATATTTAATATTCTCTCCTATGATATGCCAAACAATTTCCAAATGCTTTCATTAATTCAATGCATGCCTTATGCTGTCTATGGATCCAAAAACTAATGATATTTGGACTTTGAATTCGACCGAAAAGTCATGATTCGGGGAATATTTTTCTGTTGAAAGATATTTCATCTTTTTCTTCGTTGTGTATAATTATTGCTATAATTATACAGATATTTGGGCTCAAAAGGCATCCCATTTGAGTGTTAGTTCACTCACTTTTCACTCTCTCTCTAATCGGACCCACACTTTATATTGAGAGCCAATTCTTGATAAACCATATTATTGTGTCATTTACTCTACGATTGGGTTCGTATGGCGAGAGTGAGAGAGAGTGTCTGCAGAGTCTGTGCACAAGAGATCCACTCTTTATTGTAAACACAATGTTCTCATAGACTCGACGAGAAGGGCGTCTCAAACGCCAAATTCCAACACTAAATGCCCACAAAATGCATGTATTTTCAGTCTGCAGAGTCTGTGCACAAGAGATCCACTCTTTATTATAAACACAATGTTCTCATAGACTCGACGAGAAGGGCGTCTCAAACGCCAAATTCCAACACTAAATGCCCACAAAATGCATGTATTTTCTACCATATTCTAAATCTATTTAAGCCATCGCTTCAGTGGTAGTGGTGTTTAGATAATCAAATGTGTTATCAACGGATCCTTATTATGGTATAGCTTATGATTATATTGTTGTTGTCGTGTATTAAATACAATTTGATTGTCTGTTCCGATAGCCTCTATCGTTGCAATATTAGTTCATAGAGTAGTAGTTATTTAGTGTTAAGTCATTATAGATTTATTTTTATTGCAGATCCGTTTCAATCCGATTATTAGATATCACTTTAATTGTATTCACAGAACTGTTTGTAATTAATAAAATAAATCTTTCGCTTGACGTCTCATTTTATATGACTTTCTAGATATTATTTTTTCACTTGTAATCATTATTTCGTCACTACTTTTGCTAATATTTATATTAATATTTCTCATATAAAAGTCGGAGAATTCTTGGCATTGAATTCATTCATTCATCGAAACTCATACTTCGCTACCAATAATGACTGTGGAGAGGATCTGTTGTGTGGGCGCGGGTTATGTCGGAGGACCGACTTGTACTGTAATCGCCAGCAATTGTCCCGACATTAGGGTCTGTGTCGTCGACTCTAACGCCGAGAGAATTGCGAAATGGAATTCAGACGAACTGCCCATTTATGAGGTCTGTCTTCATGTGTTCTCTTCATTGAGTTTTACATTTAATTCAATTGGTTTTGCATTTCACTCATAGCCCGGACTCGACGATATTGTCCGCAAATGTCGCGGAACTAACCTCTTCTTCTCGAATAATATTCAGGAGGAGATCGAAAAGGCGGACATTATCTTCATATCAGTCAATACTCCGACCAAAACGTTTGGTTTTGGTAAAGGAAAAGCGGCTGATCTTCAGAATCTGGAACACGTCGCCCGACTTATAGCTAATTATTCAAATAAAAGCAAAATAGTGGTCGAGAAGAGCACAGTTCCCGTTCGCGCCGCTGAAAGTATTAACAGAATATTGACGGCAAACACGAGACCCGGCATCAGATTCGATGTGCTCTCGAATCCGGAATTCTTGGCCGAAGGAACGGCTATCGAAGACCTCTTAAATCCGGACAGAATTCTGATCGGAGGCGAAGAGACGCCGGAAGGGAAGCGAGCGATTCAGACGTTGTGTTCAATATATTCAAAATGGATTCCGAGAGAGAAGATTATCACAACGAATACGTGGTCTTCAGAGTTGTCTAAATTGGCCGCCAATGCATTCCTCGCGCAGAGAATTTCGTCGATTAACGCCATTTCGGCCATTTGTGAGGCGACCGGCGCTGACGTGTCAGAAGTGGCCCATTCTATCGGTTCCGACACACGTATCGGCGCTAAGTGTCTGAAGGCTGGCGTCGGTTTCGGCGGCAGTTGTTTCCAGAAAGATGTCTTAAATTTGGTTTATCTCTCCGAATGCCTTAATTTGCCAGAAGTGGCCGATTATTGGGTTCAGGTTTGTATCGCTTGTATCACTGAATCTTTATTATAATTAACAGAAATGGTTTTGTTTTAATCTCCAGATAATCGAAATGAATAATTTCCAGAAAAGACGATTCGCTTTGAGAATCATTGAGTGCCTCTTCAATACGGTTACGGCTAAGAAAATAGCGATTTTGGGATTTGCCTTCAAGAAGAATACGGGAGACACTCGGGAATCACCGGCCATTTTGGTTTGCAAATATCTGCTCGAAGAAGGCGCCAAACTATGCATTTATGACCCAAAAGTGCCAAAACAACAAATTTACACGTAATGCTAATCACTTAAAACAATTAACATCTTTATGTTTATTAATTTTGATTCGCTGTCCAGTGACTTGAAATCTGCTGAGAGACCCGATGACATGCAACTCATTGAAGTGACAGACAGTCCGTACAAAGCGACCGAAGGCGCCCACGCCATCGTCTTCTGCACCGAATGGGACGAGTTTACGGTAAATGATTCATTAGTTTTACAATAATTGTCAGTCAATTAATTTTCATATTCATTGATTGAATGCCAGAAATTGGATTTCAAGCAAATGTACGACAAAATGCTTAAACCGGCGTTTGTTTTCGACGGCCGAAAGATAGTGAACGTCGAAGAACTGCAATCAATCGGATTTCATGTCGAGACTATCGGCAGAAGGACTTCCAAACTATTAAAGACTCGACTCAATCGATGCACATCTCATGCCGACTGACAAACAGATTACAACTATTTATTTAATTTTTAACTTTTTTTTATTGTTAGGCAAACCTTTTTATTTATTTTTAATATTTTGTTTAATTAATTTGCATTTATATAATTTTATTATTATTGACTTTATGGATATTCCGTTACATTTATGGTCCAAACTAGAGGTTCAATCAATTTATATTGAATTTTTTTTGTATTTTAATCGATGTCTTCTAAAAACAAACAGTGATTTTATATCAACTGTATGACTAATCATTTGGCGAATTACTAATTTGTTTTGCTATTATTTTTTCTAATAATAATTTAATTCAAATAAATTGTAACACTATTTACAAGCAATTCCGAAAATATGGGGTCTTATTAAAGGGATGGGAATCTCTTTGACAATCAATGAGTTCTCATCGATCGACGAGAAGTTTGCATCCCTTATGTATTGACTCGTGTGTTGAGTAAGTCTGCAGTCGTCGTTGAATTGTCTCCAAAAGTATTCAATCAATGATTGAAATCTATAGCCAAGAGTTCCCAATTGATAGGAGACGTGTTCCACATAAATAAACCTTCCCTTCGGTCTCAACACACGGCGGATCTCTTTTAGACACTGTTTCGGGTCAGACACCGAACACAACACATGTATGGACACAACCACATCCACGCTATTGTCTTCAATTTGGGACATGTCTTCAGCGAAGCCATTGATGACTCTCTCCAACACAATGTTCGTCGAGTTTTGGATTTTCGTATCGAAAAGAGTACGAAAATGTGGATTCGGTTCAATTGTGATCAGATGTGTATTGTTTGGATAGTATTTCAGATTATGTCCATTTCCGACCCCTATCTCTACAATCCTTAGACAACCGACCCCTTCATCGGCCAGTCGTTTATCATATGATTTCATGTCATTCAGTGAGGAGAATAGCCGTCGTTTGTGAGCGTCTAAACAGTTGTCGAGATTTAACGATTGGATATTGTTTAGGAAAAAGGCATAAAATCTTCGCTTCAAATACTTTGAATTCGGTTTGATTAGCAGTAAATAGAAAATCAATAGAAAGCAACACAATAGCAATGATAACCACCACATCTCACATCAATAGCACCACAAAAACTTTACTCTGTATTTGTCGGTCGACTTATTGAACAATAAATAGGGAAATGAAAATTCGAGTTTGAATATACATTTCTATATTGTATACAATCATACAATATTACTAACACATTGTGCAATCCTTATGTAATAACTCGATGTACAGTGAATATGAAAAACCTGTTAAGATAAACAAGTTTTAAATTCTGTGTACAGTATTTATAGCAATCAGAAAGTTCCATGAATGCAGCAATCGATCCAAACATAATTTTGTTATCAATGTTAATGTGGTTTATTATAGAGAGTGAAGAGTAGTAATTGATTACCACTTGACTCGTTACCAATTGATATACTGGTATTGAAACCCAAATACATTGAAATCAATTAAATTAATTAAATTCCAATTGAAAGTTACGTGATACAAACCATCCAAATTTGAAACTCAAACGCAATACAATTTAATAAAACAATACAATCTTTGGTGGGAAGTAATATAACAAGTTTTGCTAACAAACTAAACAAATAGACGAATATGCGATAAAATTGTATTTTATAAACTTTTTATCAATTACTTTGGATATTATTTATAGGAAATAAGACAACAGAACTATAATAGACATTCACTTACAATCTCTTCCTCTGATCTCGTATTTCATTGAAAATATTTTTCATAAAAACTGATGAGAAAAATACTGTATACAAACAGTTGACTCAAATCTTCTTGCGTTAATTAAATTTGCAGACAAACAAAGGATATGACAATCAATTCAATTAACATAATTGTTATTTTTATAAAATATTTGTTTTTCAAAAATTGCTGTTACACTAAATATGTGTTAATTTGGTAATTACTATATAATGATTTCGTTTGAGTTTATAATACAATAAATTCGATCCAACATTTGATATCATAATTGAAAACAACAGAATTGTGTGTTTTATATATAAATTTAAATAAAAAACAACAAAAACTATACAAATAAATTGCATATAATTAATAATAGAAATTAGGAATCTATGAAATATTGACTGGAATTTGTATCGACATTAGTGTGAGAAGTGGTAAAAGAGAGTTCAGTCGGCACTTCAGTATTCATCGCATCTATAAGTGGTTTCGCATTTCAACCAATAAAAGAAATAATGGTTTTTGGTTTCATTTAATTCATTGATTTGCACAACAAATGACAAACACATCACAACAATAACCACAACACAAATTGCATGCAAATATCAATGAATACCAGAGGCAGCGGTTCGGCTAATAATGGCCAGTATTGACTCGTGTGTTGAGTAAGTCTGCAGTCGTCGTTGAATTGTCTCCAAAAGTATTCAATCAATGATTGAAATCTATAGCCAAGAGTTCCCAATTGATAGGAGACGTGTTCCACATAAATAAACTTTCCCTTCGGTCTCAACACACGGCGGATCTCTTTTAGACACTGTTTCGGGTCAGACACCGAACACAACACATGTATGGACACAACCACATCCACGCTATTGTCGTCAATTTGGGACATGTCTTCAGCGAAGCCATTGATGACTCTCTCCAACACAATGTTCGTCGAGTTTTTGATTTTCGTATCGAAAAGAGTACGAAAATGTGGATTCGGTTCAATTGTAATCAGATGTGTATTGTTTGGATAGTATTTCAGATTATGTCCATTTCCGACCCCTATCTCTACAATCCTTAGACAACCGACCCCTTCATCGGCCAGTCGTTTATCATATGATGTCATGTCATTCAATGAGGAGAATAGCCGTCGTTTGTGAGCGTCTAAACAGTTGTCGAGATTTAACGATTGGATATTGTTTAGGAAAAAGGCATAAAATCTTCGCTTCAAATACTTTGAATTCGGTTTGATTAGCAGTAAATAGAAAATCAATAGAAAACAACACAATAGCAATGATAACCACCACATCTCACATCAATAGCACCACAAAAACTTTACTCTGTATTTGTCGGTCGACTTATTGAAAAATAAATAGGGAAATGACAATTCGAGTTTGAATATACATTTCTATATTGTATACAATAATACAATATTACATGTACTAATACATTGTGCAATCCTTATGTAATAACTCCGTGTACAGTGAATATGAAAAACCTGTTAAGATAAACAAGTTTTAAATTCTGTGTACAGTATTTATAGCAATCGCAAATTTCCATGAATGTTGATTCGAGCAGCAATCGATCCAAACATAACCTTAATTTTGTTATCAATGTTAATGTGGTTTATTATAGAGAGTGAAGAGTAGTAATTGATTACCACTTCACTCGTTACCAATTGATATACTGGTATTGAAACCCAAATACATTGAAATCAATTAAATTAATTAAATTTCAATTGAAAGTCACACAATATAGTATAGTTGATACAAACTATACAACCCATCCAAATTTGAGGCTCAAATACAATTTAATAAAACAATACAATCTTTGGTGGGAAGTAATATAACAAGTTTTGCTAACAAACAAACTAAACAAATAGACGAATCTGCGATAAAATTGTATTTTATAAACTTTTTATCAATTACTTTGGATATTATTTATAGGAAATAAGACAACAGAACTATTATACACATTCACTTACAATCTCTTCCTCTGATCTCGTATTTCATTGAAAATATTTTTCATAAAAACTGATGAGAAAATACTGTATACAAACAGTTGACACAAATCTTCTTGCGTTAATCAAATTTGCAGACAAACAAATGATATGAAAATCAATTCAATTAACATAATTGTTATTTTTATAAAATATTTGTTTTTCAAAAATTGCTTTTACACTAAATATCTGTTAATTTTATAATTACTATATAATGATTTTGTTTGAGTTTATTATACAATAAATTCAATCAACATTTTGTATCATAATTGAAAACAACAGAATTGTGTATTTTATATATAAATTTAAATAAAAAACAACGAAACTATACAAATATATTGCATAATAATAATAGAAATTAAGAATCTATGAAATATTGACTGGAATTTGTATCGACATTAGTGTGAGAAGTGGTAAAAGAGAGTTCAGTCGGCACTTCAGTAATCATCGCATCTATAAATGGTTTCGCATTTCAACCAATAAAAGAAATAATCGTTTTTGGTTTCATTTAATTCATTGATTTGCACAACAAATGACAAACACATCACAACAATAACCACAACACAAATTGCATGCAAATATCAATGAATACCAGAGGCAGCGGTTCGGCTAATAATGGCCTCTTCTTCCCTGTCCTCGTTATCCTCGTCTCCGCTCAACAGTTTGTCGTTGTCTTCGCAATAATATTTTTGTTCAAAAACAATTCCACTGCCCTTACTGTCAATCAAGACAATCAGTCAATACATTCAATTCATATAATAATAATAATAATAATAATAATATGTGTAATCAAAACGTAAATTCAATCCATTTATTGCTTTTTCTGAGTTTAAAATACTATAAAAATACTTTTTAAAAAGTTTTTACAACTCTATAAAAGACTGCGAATAATTAATTATAAATAATGTTTATATTAAAAATACTTATAAATAGTAAAAATAGAGTGAGAATTGATTACTTAATAATAATGACAACAAAACAGAAATCAATTGTAACACAAATTGTGGGCAAAGTTTGAGGTTTTTTGGCACTTATGCTGACCTGTCATCAGTGTGCGACTGCTGTAACTCTTGTTGCGAGTCAATTGGTATTGAAATAGTATTTGACTGTCCGATAGAGTTGTAAAAACTTTGCTGATTGTTGTGTTCGGCCGGTAATGTGGGTCTCGTCTCATATACAATGCCGTCTCCAATACTATTAGGGTTTGGGAAGAGTGCAAAAGGGCTTAACTATATTGTCGTGTTTTTTGCTTTAGAATTTCGTTTAGAATTCTCATTATTATTAACTAATTTTCTAATTAAAATCCTATCAAACAATTCAATGGATAACGAAAAAACAAAATATTAAAAAACAAATGAACACAAACCTCGTGTAAATCGGTAAAAACCACATTACTTTTTGTTCGCCAAATACTTGACTAAAATTTTTTGATTTTCCTAAATTATAGGCATTACGATCGGGCCCTCCAATGAAGACCGGGGCTCGGAATGACTCTATTGGGACACAAAACAAATGGTATCATAATTAGTGATAATACTGGAGAAATAGTGGACAACACAAACCTAATGTGGATTTGTTGAGCAAAACAAGGTATATATGATAACCGAAAAGAGAGATTAAACTAATGGCAAACATTATCGACACAAAGAACAGGAATAGTATATGAAATTTTCCCCATTCTGTCAACTCGTTCTGTGAATGCAAACAAATGTAACGTACAATCAGTCAATCAATACCATTAAGCCATTAAAAACTATTTATATATATCGCGTGTTTGCGACACATATATCATACAGTCTGTGGGGATAGGGATAGGGGTTGGGTTCGCGTCCATACCTTCCAGAACTTGAGGAAATACGGGAACGAAGTGACCGCCGAAAACAGACACAACACGAAAGCGTATCCAAGAAATAGTATAAAAAATTTGTAGTTTGAAAACGAAACACAATTATTAACCCTATTATGAGATAAATAATTTATAATCAATGCGTTAGTCATTCACAGCGATAAGAGTGAGGGACGGAAGCGAGTGGAGAGTGAGTGACTGAATGAGTGATATGTCATCGCGAGTGCACTCGCAGTACAGCCACGCGGGCCGTAACGGATCCGTGTCTTCGGGGCCGTCGTTCGGGCGCCGACTGCGGCGTCGGTGCGATCTACTCTTTCGCCCAAATGTGTCTTCAAACCCATGTATACAGTGTTCAGTAGTTTCTGTTTTTGAGTTATACGAGAGAGAGAGAGAGAGAGAGAGAGGCTAACCACGGGCAGTGATGATCCATTTTGAGTACACATTGGTCACAGACGGAGCAGTGGTGAGCTCTGTCGGGTTTGATCATATAGCAGATCTCACAGATCCGATACATGCCGTTATAGGCTCTGCACTGAACCGGAAGATTGCGTTCACAGACATAGCGTTCAATGATTCTCCTTTGGTTCTCTTCATTGGGTTCCTGTAATAACTTGTCCTTTTCGGCCGTCGGTAACCAAAACTGCGGACAAAAACAATACATAAATATCGGTAAACAAACAAATGATACCAAAGGGTAGGGGAGGGACAGGACATACATCGCGAGGAATGTGTGCGCTGTCGGTGAAGATGGTCTGCCAATAGGACCAGAGAGTCAACACATATATCACGTGAAAGAGTGACAAATACAAGATCTTGACGGCAATGGAGTCGATGTTAATGAGGTTGAGTTGTATGACATATGCATAATAACCCCACGCGAGGACTGACACTATGAACACTACGGGCAACCATTTGAAGACACGGATACACAGATCGCACCGACGCCGCAGTCGGCGCCCGAACGACGGCCCCGAAGACACGGAACCGTTACGGCCCGCGTGGCTGTACTGCGAGTGCACTCGCGATGACATATCACTCATTCAGTCACTCACTCTCCCGATGGACACAAACCACAGACACACCGGACGTCAGGTCCCGACCAACCGATCAAATCACGTGAAAGAGTGACAAATACAAGATCTTGACGGCAATGGAGTCGATGTTAATGAGGTTGAGTTGTATGACATATGCATAATAACCCCACGCGAGGACTGACACTATGAACACTACGGGCAACCACTTGAAGACACGGATACACAGATCGCACCGACGCCGCAGTCGGCGCCCGAACGACGGCCCCGAAGACACGGATCCGTTACGGCCCGCGTGGCTGTACTGCGAGTGCACTCGCGATGACATATCACTCATTCAGTCACTCACTCTCCCGATGGACACAAACCACAGACACACCGGACGTCAGGTCCCGACCAACCGATCAA